ACTAGTAGTAGTAGTAGTAGTAGTAGTAGTAGTAGTAGTAGTAGTAGTAGTAGTAGTAGTAGTAATAGTAGTAGTAGTAGTAGTAGTAGTAGTAGTAGTAGTAGCCGTGGCCGTAGTACTATGAGCAGTCGTAGTCGTGGTAGTAGTAAATGTAGTAGTAGTAGTAGAAGTCGTAGTAGTAGTAGTAGTAGTAGTAGTAGTAGTAGTAGTAGAAGTAAAGTAGTAGTAGTAGTAGTAGTAGTAGTCGTAGTATCAGTAGTAGTAGTAGTAGTAGTAGTAGTCGTAGTAGTAATAATAGTCCTGGAAGTAGTGTAGTAGTAGCAGCAGCAGTAGTAGTCGCAGTAGTAGTAGTAGTAGTAGTAGTAGTAGTAGTCGTAGTAGTAGTCGTAGTAGTAGTAGTAGTAGTAGTAGTAGTAGTAGTAATCGTAGTAGTAGCAGTCGTAGTAGTACGAGTAGTAGCAGTAGTCGCAGTAGTCGTAGTAGCCGTAGTAGTAGTAGTAGTAGTAGTAGTAGTCGTAGTAGTAGTAGTAGTAATAGTAGTAGTAGTAGTAGTAGTAGTAGTAGTAGTAGTAGTAGTAGTAGTAGTACTTGTAGTACTAGTAGTGCTAATACTAGTAGTAATAATACGTATGCTAGTAGTAGTAGTAGTAGTAGTAGTAGTAGTAGTAGTAGTAGTAGTAATAGTACTACTACTACTACTACTACTACTACTACGACTACTACTACTACTACTACTACTACTACTACTACTACTACTACTAGTAGTGATCGCGATGGAAGTAACAGTATTGGAGCGGCGTGGGTGTCAGCTCATACATCAACGCATCCGAACCTCCGCGAGCCCACCCGCCCCCGAGAAGAACGGGGCCCGTGAACAGAAAACCACGGCAAAGGGCAATCCGAACACCGCCATCAGCAACGGCAGGGGTAATTTCAAGGGGTCAGCAGCAGGAGAGACGCGCAAGCGTGGGCGCACAACAACAAGACAACAAACTAAACCAACCCAACATATACAGAACACGGAACGCTCGAACGCGTCAGTACCTCGCGCGCGCGCGAAGGCATGGGAAGCAAGGTCACCTGTGCCTCACGAGTACGCAATCTCGAAACGCCTGAAAATAAATTGCCCCAACGTCGACCCCAAATACGGATGCGCGAAACACAAATGGCCTACACAGCCGGCTGAGGCTCCCCGCCCCGCCAGGAAGGGCAGCATCCTTGCGAGAACCGCCACTCTCCGAGGAGCCAAGGCGCCCGAGCCAGCATCCTCGTGAGGGTCGCCTTTTCTTGAAAGGCTAAGGCGCCTGAGCCACAACTGGGCCACGGAGCCGGCAGAGGGCTTCTGCCCCGTCCAAAGGGGCACCATCCTCCTCATGGTCGCCGCTTTTCGAAGTGCCAAGGCGCCCGGCCCAAAACTTGCCTACAGAGCAGGCAGAACGCTCCAGCCCCTCTAGAATTGCACCATCCTCGCGAAGGTCGCCACTTTCCGAGGGGCCAGGGCGCCCGGCCCAAAACTGGCCTACAGAGCGGGCAGAGGGCTCCTGCTACTCCAAATGGGCAACATCTTCGCGAGGGTCGCCACTTTTCGAAAAACCAGGGCGCCCGAACCGCAACTGGGCCACGGAGCCGGCCGAGGGCTTCAGCGCCTCGAGCGGGGCACCGTTCTTGCGAGGGTCGCAACTTTCCGAAAAGCCAGGGCGCCCGAACCAAAACTGACCCACCGAGCTGGCAGAAGGCTTCAGCGCCTCGAGCGGGGCACCATCCTTGCGAGGGTCGCAACTTCCCGAAGGGCCAGGGCGCCCGAACCAAAACTGACCCACAGAGCCGGCAGAAGGCTTGGGCCCCTCCAAAAGGCCACCATCCTCGCGAGGGTCGCCACTTGCCGAGTGGCCAAGGCGCCTGGCCCAACATTTGCCCACAGAGCCGGCAGAGGGCCCTGCTCCTCCAGAAGGGCACCATCCCCGCGAGGGTCGCCGCTTTTCGAAGGCCGGGGCGCCCAGGGCACAACTGGCCCACAACAGCAACCACCACAACCACAACCAAAACCACAACCACAACCACAGCCATAGCCACAACAACAACAATACTAAGACCAACACCAACAACATCAACATCCACAACAACAGCAACAACAACCACCGAACAACACACCACCAACAACAACAACAGCAACATCACCAACAAAATCACAAAGCAACGGCAACACCAACATCACCATCAACGACATCAACCTCGTCAACAACAACAGCACCACCAACAATCGCACCATCGACAAATGCAGTAACAAAACCAACAACCCCAACAACAACAACAGCAACAACAACCACGACAACAACAGAAGCAGCAACAGCAACAGCATCAACAACAACAATAGCAACAACGATAACAACAACAACGATGACAGCAACAACGTCAACCACAACATCAACAACAACGCCATGGCGAGGCCGGCAAAGAGCTTCAGCAACTATGTATTACACAAATGCGGGGGATAGGGAGCGAAAGAGATGAGGCGGCACCTACGGGTCGGATATCTAAAATGTCCACGTCCACGTCACAGGAGGCAAAAGGGCAGGCGGTAGAGAAGCACGCTGCTGCATCACACTATTGGGAGGACGCGCGCACCTAAATAATCGGGGCCTGCCGCGAGGAAAAAAGTGGCACCGACACAAGGGTGATCGACGTCTGAGAGGCAGCACAGGGGACATGCAGGCGATCGCAATTTTCTTATGGACCTGACATCCGAGGGGCTGGGAGAGCGGAAGAGCAAACCAGAGCGGGGGAAAGCCCGAAAAGCCAAGAAGCAGGGGCGGGGACAGAGCGGGAAGGAAATGGGAAGAGCCAAAAACCCGGCTGAGATAATTACAAAACAACAGGTGGCTTGGCCACCGTGCCAATCTGCCCCTCGCACTGGCTCTAAATCCCGATGTCATCGATCGCCTCTGTCCAGAGTATGTTTCTCGGTCAACCTGATAGCACCTCACCTGATCGAACATCTCGCCTCGATGCACTCTTGTGTTTTCTGGTCATGCCTGAATTTAAGGAAGCACGTGGCCGTGCGGATGTGCATATGTGGCGAACCTCCACTCGACGCCAAGAGACCCACAACGTTCAGTAAACAACGCGAGCGGTCTGCAATCGATCGCTGTGCTCTTTTCAAAACCATCGGGTCTTAGGCCATTGCGCGACATGACATGAGATCTGCTGAACATCGCATGATGTGATCTGATCTGCACCCGAGCCACGAAAATTGCGCAGCGCGAGTGCAAGCTTCGCCGAAGAGACGTGAGGCAGCGCGGAACAAAGACATATAGCAGACGCGAGAATATCCAACCCCGACATCGACCTTTGGCTTGTGAACGAGAACGGGCCCAAGATACCAAGACAAACTGAAACCCGCGAGGCACCAGCCATGTCCCCAAGAAAGCGCACTGAGACCCCATGCCCAAGGAACGTCTCAGGGAGCAAGAGATGGAGAAACACGTGAAACATACATGCCGCATACAACAGCTAGGTCACTGAGATGCCCGCGTGGCTCCTACACACAAACTGGTAGCGCCTGATCCCCCGAACAATACGAACGCGTCAATGAACGACTTCGCACCCCTTCAACAATCACCTATTACCCAAAAGACCACCTGCAATCTAAGCAAGGACAAACAGCGGCTTCATCGAGAAGAAAGGGGGGGGAGCAACAACGCCCTGCGCACATCTAGATAAGAAACTGTCTTTGACATTCGACCAGCACACAGAAGGGAGACCATGTCCCGCGTGCGCCACCCAGACCCAGCATGAGCCTGGCCGTCGCAGAATCGGCTGGCCTATGACTTTGCCCACAATCACCTGTTGCTTGCCTCCTGTCCCGGGAGCCTCGGAGTGGTGGGCGAACGAGGAGACGCAAGGCAGTTCCTCAACCAAGCCAGATTTGGCAACGTGGACGAGCTTCACTGCATCACCTGTCCCAGCGCCCGCTGCCAAAATAAACCCGATTCCGACCGACGGGTCGATCGACCACTTCGCGACGGGCAGCTTCGCCCTGACTGTAGCGCCGAACTCGATGCGGACCCTACCCATGACAGCCGATTGCTTGTTAACCGAACCATCACGGTGGGGCTGAATCCGTCGGGGGAGTTCTTCCTAGACGCACCGACGGTGTCAGACGCTGTTCCAAGGGATAGGAGCACTAAAGCCACTGTATTTGAGAAACTCTGGGGGAAGCCTTCATCGCCGACTTCGGATGTCCGGAAGCGCACGGGGAAAATCTCTGGTACCTGCTTCGTACAGAACCTACGAGTGTACCCGCCATACCGACAAGATGGCCTTCGATAGACAATCAGGAGAGCCGAGACGAAAACGAAACACTGTTTTGGATTTACCAGCCGAGCTGCCGTGAACATCGTGTTCGCTGCTATCACCGAAATCGCTGCTGTTCGCATACGGTCGCAGCGAGGCCAACACTCCCACCGTCATATTCGTTCTGCTCGCGCAACCTAAGTTGCAAAACCTTGACATGAGAGGTAAGCACGGAGACCCGGCCCGTGAGGGAAGCGAGGTGATCCTGCATCTTGGCGACCTGAGCCGCCAACCCAGATATCAACAGATCCGTGCCTTTCCGACCCATCACGCCCCCGAGCAGATCGAGATCCGAAAGGGTCTGGGAGAGAGGGACAAACAAAGCAAGGGCACCTGCGCCCAGATTTCGAGCCGTCACCTGAGCTGCGAGCAAGCCCGAAGCACCAGGGACTCGCGTCCCCAACCTGAGCCAAAATGGCTGCGGTAGATGGTGATGGCGATGAGGAGGAGGAAGATGAGAACGACGATGATGATGAGTTGAATGGGGTAAGAGGAAATATGAATGATGGTGCTGCTGATGTTGATGCGGATGATGAGCAACGCGAGGGGACGAGCGTAAAAGAGGAAAAAAGGAAGAGGATGGACGAGGCGCACGAGGAGGTGGAGGAGAAACAAGGAATACTAGGAGGGCGGGCTAAGCCGCCAACTTTGCTTCCAACACCCGGTTGATCAACGACAACGCGTGCTGCCATTGCCTGCCCTTTCCACACGCGCTGATTCCGGCGCTGTAGCTGACCGTGTCAAGGCCCACCTAAGGAAGGGGGATGAGGAGAGGGGAAGGAGGAAGAGGCAGAGGAGGACGAAGCGAAATAGAGGAGGAGCAGGCGCAGCAGAGATGATGATGATAATGACGATGATGATGACGCTGATGATGATGATGATGATGATGATGATGATGATGATGATGATGATGATGATGATGATGGTGATGGTGATGGTGATAATGCTGATGCTGATGCTGATGATGATGGTAAGAAGATGGTGATGATGATGACGAAGATCAGAATGATGATCATGACGATGATGAGGAGGATGAGGATAATGAGGACGAGGGTGATGAGGATGACGATGCTGCTGATGATGATGATGATGATGGTGATGAGGATGAATGTGATGATGGAGAGGCTTGTGGTGATGCTGAGGGGAAGAATAACATGGAAGAAAACATGCTGAAAGAGAAATTGCGTCAGGACTCGAAATAGGAACGGATAGCTGATGATGGAGGAGAGGTATGAGGAAGCAGAGGAGGAGGAGGAGGAGGAGGAGGAGGAGGAGGAGGAGGAGGAGGAGGAGGAGGAGGAGGAGAACGAGGAGGAGGCTGCAATGGCGATCATCACTGATCCCACCTGCGCTTCGTCCAACTCCCTGATCAGCGACAACGCGTGCTGCCACTGCCCAACATTCCCGCATGCACTGATGGCGGTACTGACGCTGATCAGGTCTTCCAGGGGGCCAGAACATATACGTATCCAGCACCTCTTTCCTGTGTTCTTAGACAGGAAGAGAAAGAAGGGCACCGAGAAGGGGGAGGGGGGACGGGGGAGGAGGGCGAAGGAGACGCGAGTATAAGAGGAAACGTAAAAAGTCCACACATAAAAACAATAATAGTAATACTTCGAATAAGAATAGCGATAATGCTACTGACAATGATTATGCTGATGCGACTACAAATAACAATAATACTAAGACGACGACGAATAATAAAAAGGAGAAGACTAATCGGCATAAACACGAACTTTCGCAACTCCGCGCGGGTATCGTAGATCGGCGCCGGAGGCGCCGCCAGAGAGCAATTCAGCGCCGATCCACGAAATCCGCGAGGACTTCCCCCAGCATGCGTGCACGTGCAGACGTCTGTTATTCGAAGCCCACTGCTTAATGGGGGAAATGGAGGGAGGGAGGACGGGGGGCAGATGAGGGGATATGTATCGTGCAGAATCGCCTGGAAGGGAAGCGGGCGTGTTCCCATTCTTGCCCAACCCGCCCGCAGGGCTGCCCCGTTGTGCGCTGCCTGCTTCCAGAGCTCAACCATGTTGAGGAGGGGGGCGGAGGACGTAGGAGCGGAGGGAGGGAGGGAGGGGGAGGGAGGGAGGGAGGGAGGGAGCGGGGTGGAGGAGTGGACTAGGGGAGAAAGAGGTGGAGGAGAGAAAATGCAGGGAGGGGTGAGGAGAGGGGGGGGGGGAGGAGTGGGGGGGAGGGAGGAGTGGACGAGGGCGCCAGGAGAGAGAAAAGTGAACGAGGGAGAAAAGGGGGGGAGGGAGGCACCCATGCGAGCGGAAAGCAGACTCGGCTGAGCTGGCCCGACGGCGCTTCAAAACGCATCGCGGGTGAAGCCGAAGCCGAAGCAGAAGTGCACAGACAAGGTAAGGGCTCCCGCTGCAGTCTCGGTGAACAGCAAAAGGGGGCCCGCCCAGAGGTGGAGGAGAGGAAGGGCAGGGAGGGGAGAGGCAGGGGGCGGGAGGAGTATGGGTGAGGAGGAAAAGGAGAAGGATAAGGAGGAGGAGGACGATGAGGAGGAGGAGAAGGACGGATCGATTCCAGGCCCGAGGACCAACGAGACATGCTTTTTCCGAATTCCTTTTGCCTTTGGGTAGCCGCCCCTGGGGGGCCTCCCGACGCCTTTGGGTACCTTCTGGGGCCTCCCGAGACCCCCAGCGAGGAGGAGGCCCAGTGAGGAGGCGAGTCGCCCGATTCCTCTACCTTCGGGCCCCCCGTCTTCTTGCGACGCCGCTCGCCGACGCTCGCCCAGCAGCGACAGCGCCTGGGGAAATCACAGAAACTGCACCAAGCAGAATCATGCGGGTCCCAAGAATATGCACCACCACCACCACCACCAGCACCACCACCACCACCACCACCAGCACCAGCACCAGCACCACCATCACCACCACCACCACCACCAAAACCACCACCACCACCACCACCACCACCACCACCACCACCACCACCACCACCACCACCACCACCACCCCCACCACCACCTCCACCACCACCACCACCACCACCACCACCACCTCCATTCCCCCTCCCTCCTCGACCCTGCTCTTCCTCTCCTCCTTCGTGGGAGAGGGGGGGGGAGGGAGGTGGTCTCTGTGGGCCCTGGAAACGGCAGGGCCGTTTTTTTACAGTTTCCCAAAAAATGCCCCT